ACATGCAAGCACGCATGATATGCAGTCGAGTAAATAATGCAAGAAACATTTCATAAGAAGCTTTAACAATAGTTTGGGGTCACTCACCTCCATGGCTCAGGAACCATCCATCATATATCATTCCCTTGCTCAAATCCAAGTCTTAGATCACAAACTCAATGCAAACAAATCCCTTCAAAGTTCGGACAGCACTTCCCCTGAATTTGTTAACTTTTCCAGCCATCATGGCTTCATTATTTCCTCATTCCAACCCAAAGGTACACACACAACAAAAATTTCATCCAATAGCCATTCAGCAAGCTCCAAGTAGTACTAGTACAAGTCAAACTAGGGAAAAGTTCGGAAATGAAAGTTAAGCTCAAAACCAGAAAAACAGTTTTGACGTCATTTTACGGTAATGGTACCAAAGGCACTATGATTGTCGGATGAAGATGGAAGACACACCGTTTCGAAGCTAAGAGATAGGGCTACAATATTGCAGAAGGTCACTCAACCCATTTTCGAGTGTAACCAGGTCAAAAATGCAAGAAACTACACCAGAACTGGAAAATAGATTCACAGAACGCATTCTACCGGAAACATCATAAAGCAGGCTATCCAAGTCCAAATCCAGAAATTCCAAAACCATCTGAAAGATAAGAAACAGGGATACATTTCATCAGAAGACCTCAACAACCAATTCGGAAGCAATTCCAGCCAAAATAACCAATTACAGTCGCAAATCCCAATTTCGGGTAAACCAGAACAGAAATAGTAATTTCGACTTTTCTCACTCTACGCTACTCTGATTGACCTGAAATTTTGTAGGCACCTTTAAAATGTCATTCCCTAAAACTTTTATGTTTTAAGAAAAGGCCAATTCGGCCTCTATCTAGGACCTAAAATTTCGGACAGAATGAAGAACCAAGAACCCTAATTTTCCAGATTTCTTCCAAAACAGAATTTACTTGCAATCTTCCACTTTTTCCACCTTCTAGCTTCATCACATAACATTTCCAATCATCATGCATGACCACACAATCATGCTTATATTAAAAAAGAAAAATCCCCAAAAATAATAAAACTTCATCATTTCAACCACAAATCAAGAAATAATCCATAAACTTGCATCTCATACTACCACTAAGCATGATTTAAGCATCAATTAAAGAAGGAGGACAAACCTTAAAACAAGAAAGAGAGACTAGTGGTCTTCCAAATAACTCCACCAATTCAAAATCTAGTGGAGGGGTTTTATGGAGTATTTGCAATTTAATCGGTTGGAACTCAAGATTTGGACAAGAAATTGAAGTGCAAGATGATGGATTTTCTCTCTCTTTTTCTCTCAAAATTTCGTCCAAGACAAGCTAAAATGGAGAGAAATTGGGTCCAAATTGGTTTTAGTAAAGTTAGAAAAGTCTTGGTCAAAAGTCAAGGTCCAATGGTTTTGTGACAAATGGTCCTTTAGGGTTTTAATCTTATCTTTTTGTCTCTCCAATACAAATATCTTAACACATTGTAAAATAATATCACTTAATACAAAATTCCAACAAGTTGTCAAAAATATAATGCATTTACCGCACTTGCGGGTCCCACGTCCAAAATACGCTTTTAATTTCTCAAAAACTAACCGATACTAGAAAAATCATTTTAAAACTATCTTTGCTCATAACTTTATCTGGGGAATTTTTCTAATCAAGAAAATGTAGAAAAGGCGGGCGTTTAAAAAATAAACCCTAGAAAATTAGAAAATTTCCGGGTTCTCAAACTCATTTTTTTTTCGGGGCGTCACAGGCCACCTGTATCCTTTAAATTGTGGTGTTCATTTATTTCTCTTACTTGATGTGTACATGTGCCCTAAAAGTGTTTTCTCATGATTTCCTTTTGGCCGTGTAACTAGAGAGAAAAGAAGAGAGAAAAGCTTCTTCAATTTTCCTTCCTTTCTTGCTTAATCTTGTAAATCAACCATTAAAATTCCAAATTTCTTCGCATAAGTAAGTTGATAAGCTAGTTTGAGGGCTTTGGTGGAGCCATTTGTGAAGAAGAACCACTAACTGCCTTGCTTCTTGGAGTTGACAAGGTGAGTTGCCAAAATATCTCCTCTTTGATGATGATAATGATCAATTATGGGATTCTAGTGGTGAAGCATGTCATCTTGTGGATTATTTCATGAATTATGGTTGAGTTGTCCCATTTTCTTATTTATTGAGGATTTTTCTGTTTTATATAGTATATTATAGTTAGCCATGGAATGATAGCTTTATATTGAGTAATATTGGGCCTCTATATGTCAATGGTGGGTTGTTGCAGAAATTTCAGCTTTTAGCGGAAAATTTCAGTTTTAGGGTTTTATATATTTGGGGCTTTTCTATGGTTTGCTTGTAAGTTTGTAATTGGTTGAAATTTAAGGGTATTGTGACCCTAAGGAGGTGGATTGAATAGCCCATAAATTGTATTTGAACTTGTGATAATTTGGGTGATGAATGATTGGTTGGAAATGGGAAATGTTAAGGAAATGCTGCCCAAATGATAAGAAATTTGAGTAATCTTGAGTTGAGAGTGGTGTGAGTAGAAATGGGAAGATTTTCGGGTTATTCGTGCTCCACACCATTGTCACCCCATTTCACTTTTGGTATATTATATTAGTGGCTCATTTGTAATGATTTGACTCGTGTTCGGTTCTCAATTGTGATTTTCTTGCTTGTTATAGGTCTTGCCGGTGATCCGGGGCCTACGTCTGAAGCGAACTTGTGAATTTGCTTATTTACTTCGGTGATTGTACCATTATATGGTTTAATGCTTAAATGATTGTTTATAATTGCTATGTGAACTTGAATGGCTTGAATGAGACGAGAGTGTACTTTATCGCTCTCGATCTCTTATCGGTACTACTGTTACTATTTAACTGTGCAATCATATCTGTGTATGATTTGATATTGTTTGGGCTATGTCCGACAACTTAACTGTGATATTTGAGCTCATACACCATTGGTCGTTATTCGAGTCGAGTCGGCAAGGGCTTGGGCGAATCGATAACGGACCTTGGGTTCACTGTTGGTCGAGTGGAGTGTTAACTCCTCGATATTTTGGTATACTCGAGTATTACCCTCTTTGTTATTGTGAGGTGTTCGGGCCCGGTAAGGGGGTGACCGGTGGAAGGAATGTGGTGTAAAGTGGAAATCTACGGTTTGTTCTTCTCTTCAAAGGTTGATGTAGTGTCAACGGGTTTGAGATCAAGTACGGCAAGTGGAAAGTGGCTCTTGAGAGCCAATTGTATCCTTTTATATTGTCTTGTTTCCTTATGAGCTTTGGATAACTATGTGAGAGTATGTGTTTACTTGTGTGTCTTGTTGGTACCCCACGAGCGTAAGCTTACCCTCGTTATTTTATTTTCCTTACAGGAATCATTTTGAGATCGTGTTTGAGAAAACGAGTTCAACTAGTTAGGCATTTTGTTCTTTTGTATAGCTCCTCGATTATTGGGGAAACCCTAACTGTAACCGATCAAACATTCTCTTTTGATTTGTACTTGTAACACTATACCTTTGAGAAAGTGTTCTGTTATGTTATATGATGTATATACTACATGGTATGTTTCTACAACATTGGTTTATAGGCTCCTTGTGTTTTGGTCAGAATTTCAAACAAATATGGAGTTGCGCAAAATAGGAAAAAAACCTTGACCTGGGTGCTGTTCATCAAATCCGGCCAAGAATCTGGCCAAGTTCTGGCCGGATACCTGGCCGGATATGGAGGGGAGAAAGAAAAAAAATTTGGGTTTGGCCTCTGGCCTGAATCCGGCCAGTTTTCGGCTGGATTACCGGCCAGATTGACAGGGGTTTTGATCCCTTTTGGTTTTGGCCACTGCTTCCTATCTGGCCAAGAATTCGACCGAAAATCCGGCCGGATAGTGAAGTGGCCGGCACTGTTCATCTGCGGCAAATTTTGTTTCTTCGTTTTCTTGGAATTTCTCTTGCAAGTTAGATAGGTTTTGTATGTTTCGTCTCCATAGTCCTGGCGAGAGCTGGGCAGGCGGTCCGTCGAACCCTTTGGTTCACCTTAAGGGGAGGTGGGGCTGTCACAGTTGGTATCAGAGCCTAGGTTTGAGTTAATCTGGGCAAACTAGGACCTGATTTTTAGATCCGTAGGGATTTGTGTTCGCATATGAATCAGTGCTATCATATCATCTAAGTGATCATTTATGGATCTCTTATAGGTTATGGACGGAGCTAGTGGGAGCGGACGAATGCTCTTCGAGAGCAATTGCACGTAGTGGAGGCTCCGGGTGTTGGGGCACCTGGAGAAGGAGTCACGCCCAGTACTAGTCATGGGAGTGAATTCGTGGGCTCAGTTGGGAACTAGATTAGAGTTCCTTGGGCCGTGTTTTGACCCCGTGTGTGGGGTACCTAGGATGATAGTTGCTGTTAACTGTTTGGCCTTTTGACCAAGGGTGTATAGTGAACTTTTGAAAGATCCCTTTTGTTCCATAGGATTTTCCCTTGTATATATTTGACTGAATTGCTGTATGACTGTTTGCTACTGTTATGTGTTCTATGTATATATGCTCTATGTGTTTAAATTCCTTATGTGGTATTTGTTTTGGTTAAGTGTTCATGTTTATATTAAGTGAAGGGTTGCGTGCCCTTTAACGTTATACGTATATTTTAACCTTAGATTGATTTCGATCGATGCAGGGCACTCGTAGTGGTCGAGGCCGTGGACGTGGTGGTAGGCAATCCACGACTGATAGGGATACTAGGGAAACCATGTTAGAACCAAACCCTGAACCCCAAATTGATCCCAACGCTCAGGTAGCCGCTGCTATCCAGCGGATGACTGATCTTCTAGCACATGTCGTACAACAATAGGGGCACAACCCTAACCCACCCGTCGGGAATCCCGGAAACCCTGAAAATCATGTAGAGAGTGAGGATCGAACTCTCGAAAGGTTTCAAAAATTTTCCCCACCGAAGTTTCTTGGAGGGCCCGATCCAGACGTGGCCGAATAGTGGTTGGAGAAGATGATAGACATTTTTGCTGCTCTACACTATTCAGAAGAGAGGCAAGTTACTTTTACGGTCTTTCAACTAGAAGGGGCCGCCCGTTCTTGGTGGAATATCAAACGAACCAAATGGGAGAGAGAGCAGACACCAAGAACGTGGATGAACTTCGTAAGGGAGTTTAACGCCAAGTACTTCCCGCCTTTGATCCAGGAAAAGAAGGAAGACGAGTTCATCCGACTTCGCCAAGGCACCCAATCAGTGGCCGAGTACGAGAACCAGTTTACCCGCTTGTCTAAATTTTCCCCTGAACTTATTCTGACGGAACATAGGACGGTGAGACGTTTTATTCAGGGGCTTAACGTGGAAATCCAAAAGGACTTGGATGTAGCCCAAATCACTACTTTTAGTGATGCAGTTGAGAAGGCTTTGCGAGCTGAGAACGCAAGGCTCCAAGTGAGGAACTTCCAGGTTCGCAAACGTGGGCTCTCGGGAGGTAGTTCTACTCAAGGGGATAAGAGTACCCCTCCCAAATTTGGAAGGGGAGCCCGAGGGGGATGACTTCCGGGTACAGCCAGGGGTACTCAGCCAAGAGGTGGCCAAACTGGACGAGGTCAACAGAGGAGTGCTTCACATGAGAGCTCAGCCACTGTTTCTCGTGGCCCGTGTGGTTTCTGTGGGAAGCTAAACCATGCGGAGAACAATTGTTGGAGGAAAGAGAGGAAGCGCTTACGCTGTGGGAGCGCGGAGCACCAGATCGCCAATTGTCCGGTCCAATCTCGAGAGATGATAGGGACTACGCAATCATCGAAGGCTACCTCGGAACAGTCGAAAGTGGAAGGAGTGAAACCGAAGGTGCCTGCTCGGGTGTATTCTGTCGAGCAATGCCCTGTCCCTGATTCGGCGGAGGTGGTGGAAGGTACGATTCCTGTCTTTCACCGTCTAGATAGGATTTTGATAGACCCCGGTGCCACCCATTCCTTTGTTAATCCTGATTTCATGTGTGGAATTGATATCACCCCTGTTAGTTTGCCATATGATCTAGAAGTAAGTACTCCTACGGTGTGAGAACCCGTAATCTTCTAATTTTCTAGGCTTTATTTTATTTAATTGCACGCCTTTTCTGTATTTTCTTTATTAGGAAAATTTTCTAGATAATTTTTATGCATAAATATAGTTTTTAAATTAGTTTTCTAGTATTAGTTAGTTTTTGAGAAATTAAGAGTGAATACCGGATGTGGGACCCGCTAGTGCAGTAAGTGCGGTAAATTCGGCCAATTAGGTTAAGTTTTGTATAGCGGGAGTAATTTACTAGGTGCTAAGAGATAATTAGAGGTTTCCTAGATGGATTAGTATAGGAGAGACAAAAGGATAATTATCAACCAAAAAGGTGACAAGTGTCACCTTGTGATTTAATCTTGGACTTTGACCACTATTCATGCACTTTACTAATATCCCAAAATTGATAAAAAATCTTCATTTGCTTCACTCTTGTGGCCGACTCTCTCAAGAAGGAAAAGAAAGGAAACCTTCAACTCTCTTGCTCTCAATCTTGCTCAATCTTCTAATTCAACCGATCAAACTTGAAATTACTCCATAAAACCCCTTAGCTAAGTAGTATTGAGGTAGTTAGTGGAGTGGTTTGGAAGGGAGAAGTGCTAAGTTGTCTCTTTCCTTGAGTTGGTAAGGTGAGTAGCTAAGGAATGCTTTCTTTAGTCGTGTTAATGTTGAATTAGTGATTTGTGTTAGTTAAAGAGGTGATTTTGTGGGTTATTTCATGACTTTTAGTAGCGATTGATGAATTGTTATTTTTATTCATAATTTTTCTGTTTTTAAATGTTTAATGTTGGTTGGCCATGGATGATGGCTTGGTATGGTTTAGACTGAACTTATGGAGTGCTAATTGTAGCTATTTGCGAAAAATTTCGGTTTTGTGCGGAAATTTCAGCTTTAGGGTTCCACTTTTCCCTGTTCTGTTCGGTTTTCTTTGAGCATGTTAGAGGCTGAATCAGGATTAGGTTAAAATATGAAAGTTTTAGAAAATGATGTTAACTAGCTGCCTACAAAATGTCAGCTCAATCAGAGTAGGGTATCTTATGAAATGACAAAATTACCCCTGCTGCCCTGTTTCTGTCAAAAATGATAATCAGCCTGTGTAAGTGGTTAGTTTGACCAGGAATATTACTGAATTGGGTGTCGATGTCTGCTTAAGAATTATAGCCTTGTATCTTAGCTTTCAAATGGATTTTGAATTACATGAATCGGAGTTGTGTGTGCTGAGATATGATTGAATGAATCAGGACTACTAGTTGAATTTCACAGTGAGCTTCGAACTGGTAAATCTGGGTTGTTTTGCTAAATTTGACCTAGTTAGGGTGAGATGGACTAAGTAGTTTGCATCAAAGTTATATCCCTCTATCTTAGCTTCGAAACGGTATAACTTGCACTTCAATCCAATAAGCGTAGTTTCGGTTATGTCTGATACGCTAAGTAGCGGTGAATCTGCCTTTTTGGTTTCTTAGCTTAAAGCTCATTTGCGGTCATTTTCCTAGCTAAATCTTGTACTTGAATGACTTTGAGCCTATTGAATGGCTGTTGTGATGAATTTATATTGTGTATGACTTTGGGATTGATTGAGAAAAATAATGAAGCCATAAATGGCTGGAAAATAGGTACATACAAAGGGCGTGCTGCCCAAATTTACACTCGAGGATTAGGTAACGATTTGAGAGTGAATACCATATGAACCATCTAGGATATTTGCGTCCTCTTTTATCGAGGTATATAAGTTTGAATCTGGCCAAAACTTGTGCACTTGGAAAAATGAAATTTACGACTAATAGAAATACGTTTTCTTCATTTCTTCGACTCAAATGGATATTTCAAAGTTTTACGAGCGAGCATAAGTTTTCCAAATATTTTACTCATGTCCTTTGGTTTAAATGTACTCTTTTCACTTCCAAAATCATATTTATACTTTGTACTAGTAGTATTTGAATTGACTTCGATTCACCTAACTTTTGCTGGAGGAACTGTAATATTTTCTCTTGATTAACCTTAGGGTTCATCGGTGATTGAGAGTGTTACCCGGAAAGATATTCTGGATGTTATTTCGCCTTAATTGGTGAGTGTACCACTCCCCTGAATTGTTGTTTAATTGGTTCATCTATACTTGAAATGTGTGACATGGATAACTATGAACTCTGTTATTCTGAAAGAGACGAGGGTGTACTTTATCACACTCGTTCTCTTGCCTGAACTGAATGAGCTGGAATCTATTACTTGTACTTGTTATGTACTTGAACTTGTTACTTGCGCTTGTTATGAGATCGTTTGGAAGTGTGTCCAACGATCTTCCTGTTAAACTTGAGCTCAACCTCATGGGGAGTTATTTAAATCGAGCCAGCAAAGGCTTGGTCGAGGTAATTGACAATCCATGGGTACTTGTTCCTGGGGAATCTTTGGGCATTGAGACTCTTGATTCCGGTATACTCGAGTATTACCATTAATGTTCCTGTTCGGCATTCGGGCCCGGTAAGGGGTATGTTTGATGAACGGGATTTTGGCATAAGAGGGGTCTACGGACATGAGTGTGTTATTAAACGTTGACGGAGAGTCAACGAGGCTGGATCAAGTATTGCAACGGGGATTTGGCTCCTGAGGGCCACCTGTATCCTTTAAATTGTGGTGTTCATTTATTTCTCTTACTTGATATGTACATGTGCCCTAAAAGTGTTTTCTCATGATTTCCACTGTTATACTTTTGGTACCTCATTGAGCTTCTAGCTTACCCCATTCCGTTGTCCTTATTTTCCTTACAGGGAACCACTTTTTGGAACTGTGATTTTGAAGCATGAGTTGAGCTAGTTTAGATATTTTGTATAGCTGCTCAATGGTTGGAAACTCTAATTGTACTTGGATTCTAATGTTCCCTTTTGATTTGTAAAATTACGAATGTGGTTTATAAAAACGTGTACTCATGTTCATGTGTTATATTTGGTTTGTTTAAGTCCATTTCAATGATTATATGAAGTTACTTGTATTCGATTGGGTCCCGGTCGGATTGGGACGTGGCCGGTACTGTTCATGTACGGCTCCTATTTTCCGTTTTCATTTCATGATTTTTGCTTCGTTTGAGCGCGCTGATACCTTCCGGAATGTTTTAGACTGTACATAATCACGCTAGTTGTCCTGGTGAGAGTTGGGCAGGCAGTCCGCTAACCCCTTTGGTACGCCTTAGGGGAAGGTGGGGCTGTCACAGGTGGTATCAGAGCCGCTTCGCGTGGTCTCTGCGCGGAGTGAGTTTGGGGCCAAGTGGTGTTGTGGTCTCGATCATGTGAATGAGTGTTAGGGACTAAGTGCTCTTTTGAGCATAAGTTATGAATCACGGTGTATTATAGGTTTTAAAACATTATTTTGGTACTTGGAGACTATAGATACATATGTCGGGTAGGAATTTCAATTGTAGATGCTTTACTCTTGGGACTGGCCAACTCGAGTGGTGAATTCTCTTATTTTGGACTCTTGTACCCGAATACGAAATGGGATAGAAGCCTAGGTTAGAAATGACTTGGCGAATTAGACATCTGATTCTACGAAACTTTATATGATGTGTGGATGATTAATCCGGCCTAAGAGATAAATTGCGATTTCTTGTAGATTACGGATGGAACCCTAGGGGGGAGCTTTTTGTTAGTTGCTTTTGTACTCCTGGTCTAGTTCGTAATATGTACTATTGAATGACCCCCTTACTTTCATAGAATTTCCTTTGCTTGTATCTGACTAACTGTTACTGTGTGATTTGTTTGATATAGTCGTGTTATATGTATATTTGTTTTGTTCTGAATTGATTCGGACATATTAGATATATATCTGACTGATTGACCTTGTTAGTTGTATATTGTATTCGCGCCTCGAGCCTAGATTAGTTAATCCAATGGAAGGAACTCGTAGTGGACGAGGCCGTGGCCGTGGACGTGGGCAACCCTTGAATGAAGAGGGAAATCGGGAACCAATACCTGAACCCAACCCTGAACTTGGAATGGACCCTAACATTCAGGTAGTTGCCGCTATCCAACGTATGACCAACCTTTTGGCTCACGTAGTGGAACAGCAAGGCCAAAATCCTATTACTCAGCCGGGAAATCCTGGTAATCATACCGAGGGTGTCGGCTCGGGCGTATGCCCTAGAGCAACATCAAGCCCCTGACTCGTTTGAAGACGTGGAAGGTAAGATTCTGGTATTCCACCGTTTGACCACTAGAATGGTGTATAAGAATTTCACCTTGAGAAGGAAGAAGAAACTATACGAAAGAATTCAATGAGCTTGGCTAGTGAAGGGATACTGATTGGTTAGCTAGGTACGGTGCTCAATTTGATTGTGAGAAGGAAGTAATAAAAGTTTTGTATCCCAGAGAAGGCGATGATAAAAAAATTTCGAGGACGAAATTCTTTTAAGGAGGAGAGTGTGTGAGAACCCGTAATTTTCTAATTTTCTAGGCTTTATTTTATTTAATTGCACGCCTTTTCTGCATTTTCTTTATTAGGAAAATTTTCTAGATAATTTTTATACATAAATATAGTTTTTAAATTAGTTTTCTAGTATCAGTTAGTTTTTGAGAAATTAAGAGTGAATATCGGATGTGGGACCCGCTAGTGCAGTAAGTGCGGTAAATTCGGCCAATTAGATTAAGTTTTGTATACCGGGAGTAATTTATTAGGTGCTAAGAGATAATTAGAAGTTTCTTAGATGGATTAGTATAGGAGAGACAAAAGGATAATTATCAACCAAAAAGGTGACAAGTGTCACATTGTGATTTAATCTTGGACTTTGACCACTATTCATGCACTTTACTAATATCCCAAAATTGATCAAAAATCTTCATTTGCTTCACTCTTGTGGCCGACTCTCTCAAGAAGGAAAAGAAAGGAAACCTTCAACTCTCTTGCTCTCAATCTTGCTCAATCTTCCAATTCAACCGATCAAACTTGAAATTACTCCATAAAACCCCTTAGCTAAGTAATATTGAGGTAGTTAGTGGAGTGGTTTGGAAGGGAGAAGTGCTAAGTTGTCTCTTTCCTTGAGTTGGTAAGGTGAGTAGCTAAGGAATGCTTTCTTTAGTCGTGTTAATGTTGAATTAGTGATTTGTGTTAGTTAAAGAGGTGATTTTGTGGGTTATTTCATGACTTTTAGTAGCGATTGATGAATTTGTATTTTTATTCATAATTTTTCTGTTTTTAAATGTTTAATGTTGGTTGGCCATGGATGACGGCTTGGTATGGTTTAGAATGAACTTATGGAGTGTTAATTGTAGCTATTTGCGGAAAATTTCGGTTTTGTACGGAAATTTCAGCTTTAGGGTTCCACTTTTCCCTGTTCTGTCCGGTTTTCTTTGAGCATGTTAGAGGCCGAATCAGGCTTAGGTTAAAACATGAAAGTTGTAGAAAATGATGTTAACTAGATTCCTACAAAATTTCAGCTCAATCGGACTAGGGTATCTTGAGGAATGACAAAATTTCCCCTGCTGCCCTGTTTCTGTCAAAAATGATAATCAGCCTCTGTAAATGGTTAGTTTGACCAGGAATATTACTGAATTGGGTGTCAATGTCTTCTTAAGAATTATAGCCTTGTATCTTAGCTTTCAAATGGCTTTGGAATTACATGAATCGGAGTTGTGTGTACTGAGATATGATTGAATGAATCAGGACTGCTAGTTGAATTTCACAGTGACCTTCGAACTGAAAAATCTGGGTTGTTTTGGTAAATTTGACATAGTTAGGGTGAGAACTGGACTAAGTAGTCTTCATCAAAGTTATAGCCCTCTGTCTTAGCTTCGAAACGGTGTAACTTGTACTTCAATCCAATAAGCGTAGTTTCTGTTATGTCCGATACGCTAAGTAGCGGTGAATCTGCCTTTTTGGTTTCTTAGCTTAAAGCTCATTTGCGGTCATTTTCCTAGCTAAATCTTGTACTTGAATGACTTTGAGCCTATTAAACTGCTGTTGTGATGAATTTATATTGTGTATGACTTTGGGATTGATTGAGGAAAATAATGAAGCCATAAATGGCTGGAAAATAGGTAAATACAAAGGGCGTGCTGCCCAAATTTACACTCGAGAATTAGGTAACGATTTGAGAGCGAATACCATATGAACCATCTAGGATATTTGTGTCCTCTTTTATCGAGGTATATAAGTTTGAATCTGGCCAAAACTTGTACACTTGGAAAAAATGAAATTTACGACTAATAGAAATACGTTTTCTTCATTTCTTCGACTCAAATGGATATTTCAAAGTTTTACGAGCGAGCATAAGTTTTCCAAATATTTTACTCATGTCCTTTGGTTTAAATGTACTCTTTTCACTTCCAAAATCATATTTATACTTTGTACTAGTAGTATTTGAATTGACTTCGATTCACCTAACTTTTGCTGGAGGAACTGTAATATTTTCTCTTGATTAACCTTAGGGTTCATCGGTGATTGAGAGTGTTGCCCGGAAAGATATTCTGGATATTATTTCGCCTTAATAGGTGAGTGTGCCACTCCCTTGAATTGTTGTTTAATTGGTTCATCTATGCTCAAAATGTGTGACATGGATAACTATGAACTCTGTTATTCTGAAAGAAACGAGGGTGTACTTTATCACACTCGTTCTCTTGCCTGAACTGAATGAACTGGAATCTATTACTTGTACTTGTTATGTACTTGAACTTGGTACTTGCGTTTGTTATGAGATCGTTTGGAAGTGTGTCCAACGATCTTCCTGTTAAACTTGAGCTCAACCTCATGGGGAGTTATTTAAATCGAGCCAGCAAAGGCTTGGTCGAGGTAATTGACAATCCATGGGTACTTGTTCCTGGGGAATCTTTGGGCATTGAGACTCTTGATTCCGGTATACTCGAGTATTACCATTAATGTTCCTGTTCGGCATTCGGGCCCGGTAAGGGGTATGTTTGATGAACGGGATTTTGGCATAAGAGGGGTCTACGGACATGAGTGTGTTATTAAACGTTGACGGAGAGTCAACGAGGCTGGATCAAGTATTGCAACGGGGATTTGGCTCCTGAGGGCCACCTGTATCCTTTAAATTGTGGTGTTCATTTATTTCTCTTACTTGATATGTACATGTGCCCTAAAAGTGTTTTCTCATGATTTCCACTGTTATACTTTTGGTACCTCATTGAGCTTCTAGCTTACCCCATTCCGTTGTCCTTATTTTCCTTACAGGGAACCACTTTTTGGAACTGTGATTTTGAAGCATGAGTTGAGCTAGTTTAGATATTTTGTATAGCTGCTCAATGGTTGGAAACTCTAATTGTACTTGGATTCTAATGTTCCCTTTTGATTTGTAAAATTACGAATGTGGTTTATAAAAACGTGTACTCATGTTCATGTGTTATATTTGGTTTGTATAAGTCTATTTCAAGGATTATATGAAGTTACTTGTATTCGATTGGGTCCCGGTTGGATTGGGACGTGGCCGGTACTGTTCATGTACAGCTCCGATTTTCCTTTTTCGTTTCGTGATTTTTGCCTCGTTTGAGCGCGCTGATACCTTCCGGAACGTTTTAGACTGTACATAACCGCGCTAGTAGTCCTGGCGAGAGTTGGGCAGGCAGTCCGCTAACCCCTTTGGTACGCCTTAGGGGAAGGTAGGGCTGTCGCATACGGGGGACCAGTGTTTGGTTACTAGCAAAATGTATGTAAATTATGAAATCAGGGTAGGAGAGAGGAAGTTATTGGAAAATTTGATAAGTTTGGCCATTAAGGGGTACGATGTGATATTGGGCATGGATTGGTTAGCTAGGTATGATGCCCAGCTGGACTGTAAGAGGAAGGTAGTGGAATTTCGTATCCCTGGGGAGGCGACCTTAAGGCTAGATGTGAGGGGCAGTCTAGCCTCATCTGCAATGCTTTCGGCTATTCGGGCTAGAAAACTATTGAGTAGAGGGGCACAAGGGTTCCTAGCCTTTCTCATTAACACTCCCACCGATAAGTTGAAAGTAGAAGATGTTCTAGTAGTGGGTGAATATCCGGATGTGTTTCCCGATGAATTAGTGAATCTATCACCGGAAAGAGAGATAGAATTTGAGATTAACCTGTTATCGGGGACTTCACCTATCTCTAAGACCCCATACCATATGGCACCTGCTGAATTCAAGGAGTTGAAGTTGTAGTTGCAAGACCTTCTGGAGCGGGGTTTTATCCGTGAGAGTGGATCTCTTTGGGGGGCACCCGTTCTCTTTGTTAAAAAGAAGGACGAGACCTTGAGATTGTGTATCGATTACCGAGGATTGAACAACATGACTATTAAGAATAAGTATCCACTACCCCACATTGATGAGCTGTTTGACCAGTTGCACGGTGCAATGGTCTTTTCAAAACTAGACCTTCGACAGGGGTACTACCAATTATTGATCCGAAAGGAAGATGTGCCTAAAACTGCCTTCAATTCTCGATATGGACATTTCAAATTTTCCATTATGCCCTTTGGACTGACCAACGCCCCTGCCGCTTTCATGGACCTAATGCATCTGGTCTTCAAACCCTACCTGGACCGATTTGTCGTTGTGTTTATCGATGACATTTTGGTCTACTCGAAAACTCGTGAATAGCATGTGCAACACCTAAAGTTGGTTTTGCAAACCCTGAGGAATCACTAGTTATATGCCAAATTTAGTAAATGTGAGTTTTGGCTGGAGAAGGTTTCTTTCTTGGGGCATGTGATCTCGAAAGAGAGAGTGGTTGTAGACCCGGCGAAGGTGGAGGTAGTAACTGAGTGGAAAAGACATGATAATCCCACTGAGATCCGGAGTTTTCTAGGGTTGGCAGGTTATTACAGTCGATTTATCAAAGATTTCTCGAAACTTGCCAGTCCTTTAACTGATCTGACAAAGAAGGGTGGTCGGTTTCTGTGGAGTGATAAATGTGAGGATAGTTTCCAGGAGTTGAAATGAAGGTTGACCATGGCTCCTATTCTGGCCTTGCCTAACAGTAAGGACAGTTTCACTGTTTATACCGATGCCTCGAGGGAAGGTTTGGGGTGTGTATTGATGCAAAATCAGAATTTGATAGCCTATACTTCTAGAAAACTGAAAACCCACGAGCAAAATTATCCCACCCATGACTTAGAGCTGGCCGCAGTTGTCTTTGCTCTGAAAAAGTGGGGACACTACCTATACGGGGTGATCTTTGAGGTATATTCTGATCATAAGAGTCTTAACTACCTCTTTTCTCAAAAGGAGTTGAATATGAGGCAACGCCGGTGGATGGAATTCTTGGAGGACTATGATTGTACTATCAATTACCATCCGGGTAAGGCTAATGTAATAGCTGATGCCCTAAGTCGGAAGGCTCAAATGTCTGGGTTAATGGTTAAAGAATGGGAAATGTTAGGAACCGTTAGTGAGTGGAATCCTAGATTGGAACATAAGAAGATAACCTTTGGGAATATCCATGTGACATCCAAGCTCTTGGGTCGAATCAAAGAGGCTCAAATTGAGGATCCAATAGTTCAGAAATGGGTGGAAAAGGTCAAGAAAAGGGAAATTCCTGATTTCAATCTGAGTCCTAAGGGGATATTGAAGTTTAAGAATCGAATAGTGGTGCCTAATGATGAAAATTTGAAACGAGAGGTTCTGGAGGAAGCTCATTGATCCAAATATACAATCTATTCGGGTAGTAATAAGATATATCAGGACCTACGACAGTTGTACTGGTGGGATAGAATGAAGAGGGATATAGCTCAATACATACGAACATGTCTTGTGTGCCAGCAGGTTAAGGCTGAGCACCAAAAACCTTCTGGATTACTGTAGCCTCTAGAGATACCCGTATGGAAGTGGGAAAACATCACCATGGACTTCGTTTCTGGATTACCTAGGACACAAAAAGAACATGATGCCGTTTGGATGATCGTTGATCGGTTAACCAAATCGGCTCATTTCTTACCTATGAATATGAAGTATTCTATGGATAAGTTGGCTCGGTTGTATATGGATGAGATTGTGAGATTACATGGGGTTCCCGTGAGTATAGTTTCCGACCGAGACCCTCGATTTGTATCGAGGTTTTGGCAAAAATTTCAGGAGACCTTGGGAACGAAACTGAACCTAAGCACCACCTATCACCCTCAGACAGATGGATTGTCGGAACGAACAATTCAGACCCTTGAGGATATGCTACGAACTTGTATTTTGGACTTTGGAGGCAATTGGGGTCAATATATGACTTTAGTGGAATTCGCCTACAATAACAGTTACCATTCGTCGATTCAAATGGCACCGTATGAGGCTCTTTATGGACGGAAGTGTCGATCACCGATATATTGGGATGAAATAGGAGAAAAGAAGGTCCTGGACCCTACAACCATTCCTTGGATGGAGGATGCCCAAGACAAGGTCAAGTTAATCCGTCAGAGACTCCAAACAGCTCAAAGTTGCCAAAAGAGCTACGCGGACAACTGAAGAAAAGATTTGGAATTTGAAGTTGGGGATTGTGTTTTCCTTAAGATTACACCATTGCGAAGTGTTACACTGGTAGAGGGAAGAAACTCCAACCTAGATTCGTAGGACCTTTCACGATTCTCCAACGGGTTGGGAAAGTAGCATACCAACTCGAGTTGCCGCCAAGCTTGTCCCAGATTCATGATGTTTTTCACATGTCAATACTCAAAAAGTACTACCCTGACCAGACTCATGTTGTGCAATTAGAGGAGATTGAAGTTGATGAAGCCCTTACCTACGAGGAGAGACTTGTGCGTGTACTAGATAGAAAGGTTAAGGAGCTGAGGAATAAACAAATTCCCCTTCAAAGGGTTTGTGAACGGTTTGTTCTTCTCTTCAAAGGTTGACGGAGTGTCAACGGGTTTGAGATCAAGTACGGCAAGTGGAAAGTGGCTCATGAGAGCCAATTGTATCCTTTTATATTTTCTTGTTTCCTTATGAGCTTTGGATAACTATGTGAGAGTATGCGTTTACTTGTGTGTCTTGTTGGTACCTCACGAGCGTAAGCTCACCCTCGTTATTTTGTTTTCCTTATAGGAATCATTTTGGGATCGTGTTTGAGAAAACGAGTTGAGCTAGTTAGGCATTCTGTTCTTTTGTATAGCTCCTCGATTATTGGGGAAACTGTGAGAACCCGTAATTTTCTTATTTTCTAGGTTTTATTTTAATTGCACACTAATTCTATCTTTTCTTTATTAGGAAAATTTTCTGGATAATTTTTATGCGTAAATATGGTTTTTAAAATTATGTTTTTAGTATAAGTTAGTTCATGAGATTTTAGGAGTGTGTATTGGACATGGGACCCGCTAGTGCGGAAAGTTCGCTAAATTCGGCCAATTAGGTTAAGTTTTGTATACCGGGTTTAATTTACTAGGTGTTAGGTGAGAATTAGAGGTTTCCTAGATGGATTAACATGGGAGAGACAAGAGGATAACTTTAAGTCTAAAAGGTGACAAGTGTCACTTTGTGATTTAATCTTGGACTTTGACCACTATTCATGAACTTTACTAATATCCCAAAATTGATCAAAAATCTTCATTTTCTTCACTCATTTGGCCGGTTCTCTCAAGAAGGAAAAGAAAGGAAACCTTCAACTCTCTTGCTCTCAATCTTCCAATTCAACCGATTAAACTTTCAAATTCTCCATAAAAACCCTTAGCTAAGTGGTATTGAAGTAGTTGGTGGAGTGGGTTGGAAGGGAGAGATGCTAAGTTGTCTCTTTTCTTGAGTTGGTAAGGTGAGTAGCTAAGGAATGCTTTCTTTGGTCTTGTTAATGTTAAATTAGTGAGTTGTGTTAGTTAAAGAGATGATTTTGTGGGATATTTCATGACTTTTGGTAGAGATTGTGGAATTTTTATTTTTATTCATAATTTTTCTGTTTTTATATGTTTAATGTTGGTTGGCCATGGATGATGGCTTGGTATGGTTTAGAATGAACTTATGGAGTGTTAATTGTTGCTATTTGCGGAAAATTTCCGCTTTGTACGGAAAATTTCAGATTTAGGGTTTTGAATTGGGGCTTTTTCTAGGGTTGCTATAGAACTCTTGAGTTGGCTTTATTTAAAGGGTATTGTGACCCTAATAAGTTGTATTGAGTAGCCTATGACTTGCAATGGTAATTGTGGTTGTGCTTGAGAAATATAAGTGATGGAAGGTAGGATGGAAATTTACAATTTTAAAGGGAAATGCTGTCCAAATTGTGGGTTCGTATGTTTTATTGGATTTGGGTTGTGTTAGGGGTAATTAGAGACCTTAGGGTTGTCTAAACCCTTAGCGCCGAGTGTTCCTTAGTTTATTTGCAAGTTCTTTCGGTTTTACATTAGTGACATGTGGCTTGGATTTATGACTCGTAATCGAGTCTCATTGTGTTTTATTCAATGTTTTAGGGCGTGCCGGTGACGCGAAGCGCTCGTTGGACAGAAATTTGTGATTACACTCTTGTTTGTTTGGTGAGTGTATTACTCACATATTTGTTACTTCATGGCTTCGCTGTACTTGAAATCTGTGTTTTGAATACCTATGTATACTGTGAAGCCTGGTTGAGACGAGGGTGTACTTTATCACTCTTGCACTCCATGGCTCATGTGACTGTTTACTGTATCAATTGAATGTTCCTTGAATACACTTGAACTGATGTCGTTTGGATGTGTATCCAACGACTTTTACTGTTTACTCTGAGCTCAACACCATCGGCGGTCGATTGACTCGAGCCAGCAAGAGCATGGTCGAGGAGATTGATAAACCATGGGGACTGTTTCTATGGAATCATTGGGTATGAGACCCTTGTTTCTGGTATACTCGAGTATTACTATCGTGAACTGATTGGACTTCGGGCCCGGTAGGGGTATGTGAGGTGGATTGAAATTGGAGAAAGTGGGGTCTACGGTATTGGTTCCTCTTTAAGCGTTGACGGAGAGTCAACGGGGTAAGATCAAGAACGGCAAGTGTGGAAAAGGGCTCTTGAGAGCCGCCCGTATCCTTTTATTATTACTAAAATGTGATGTTAGTTCGCCTTACTTGTTGAACGTATTTGATTTGAGCAACTTGGTGCCTATGTGAACTTTACTGATCTGCATGAGGGTACCTCATTGGGCGAAAGCTCACTATGTTGCCTTTGTTTTCCTTACAGGGATATGATTACCTTTTGGAAACTGTGATTTTGAAGCCGAGTT